AGGGGCTTTCCCTCTTGTTGTGAAAAGCAGCTGAACTGAATGATTCTGGGCAGCAATGGAACATAATTATTTCTCTTTCATAAGCACTTTTCAATCATTGATGTTGTCTTTAGCAGTGAGGCACAACTGAACTAAATTCTCCTTTGCATTTATTTGCCTTCCACTCAGTGTTTCTACAAATTTTTGCTCATCTTGAACACAGTGGTACAGTACTGACAGGGGAGAGTCTGCTCCAGGTCCCCAGACTGGAGGCTGTTGTACATGGAGACTTCAAAATCCAAATTCCCTTTCTGTGCACAGCCATAGGGAGGCGTATATCTAACTGGGAGATTCACAGGTATTGTCAGCCTGTCATGTCTCCTCATGTTAGCCAGCGTAACCCAAAACATCCCCTCCGATCCAGTGCAGATGTTGCCCTCGGACCACAGCCCTTCCGTGTTTAGATTGCCAGTTGGGCTCCTATATGTAGGAAGGGAGTTAGAGTTTATCCTGCTGAGTGCAGATCAATATATGCCTCATCTAAATGAACTCTGAGAAAAATACCTTCAACACTGGGTTTCCCAGCAGGCTACCCATAAATGCCCTGCGTCTCTTGATGCTTTGCAGACAGCATTCAAACAGCACAGGAGGTACTGGAGCACAGTGTCTGATGCCTGCTGGGGACTACCTAGAAGTAGTATGAGTCAGTGAGGTTGTACTGTGTGTACATCAGCACACAGTCAGCCCTGGACTTCACTTCTGGACTACTGCTGAGGAATCATCAGAGGACAGAGTGGGGGTAAGGTCTGTAAGACTTCCAGGGCTTCAGGCAGAAGTCATTTTTATCCTTGGGCAATGTGGTTTTGTGGAATAAACTCAGCATTGTCTGCAAGGCTTAATTTTTTCACTGTGGTTTAACTTCACGTGGATATGACAAATGCTGAGGAACGTCAACTTGGTCCTGATCAAAATACTCATTTCCAGGCCCTGTCCAGCATACCTGCGCAAAACAGCATCCCATCAGAAGAGAACGTACACATTTCAGACTGGCAGGTCAGTGCACAGGTTATGAGGGAACCTGTCAGGACATTGTCTTGTTGGGATGTTTAGAGAGTGTGAATAGAAAGCAGTCCTGTTTCTGCCACAGACTACAATGTTCCCTTTCCTGAAGGAGAGCAGAAGCAGGCTTGATCTTTCATTTAATGTGCAGCACAACTGAAGTGCATATATGTACTTCCCTACCACACCTCCACCCACGCACAAGATGTACATACACATTGAGGAACACAGAGGCCTTCCTGGTGAGTCATGGTGTTCGTGCTGTCTCTGTCACCGGCAGCTGCATCATCTAATTCCTTTCATCAAGTGCCATCGTAAAAGTTTACCATTTTCTTGTCGTAGCTCTGTTCCCTTGGAAGGCAGTTCCAGAGCCTCCCTGCTCTGATAGTTACAAATTTCCTTCTAGATTCCAGCTTCAAATAATTCACAGTCAGTTTACATTCTTTGTTTGCAAGCCAAAGTTTCTCTTTAGCCTAAATAGTTCCTGTCCCTCTCTGGTACTCTCCCTCTGATGTTTACAGTCTGATTTCTCAAAGGAAACAAAGCTCGTGCAGTCATGCTGTCTGGCTGGCAGTCTCAGCCTTCCTCAACTCATTTGTAACTTGTTGGCCCATGTCAACCAGTGCTGGCAAGGGAGCAGTGGCAAGAAACACAGGCGGTCCCTCCAAGTTGGGTGATAGTTGTTGACTGAATATGAAACAGAGACTCAGCAAAACACTGTCATTGCGGTAAAGGCAGCGATAACTCAGCCCCTTCTCCACAATCAGAGACAACAAACAGCTGGCCAGATGTGTATTGGCTTCTATTTGCCCAGTCTAGCAGATCTGGGAGAAAGCTTTGGGGATATTGCTGGCAAGAGGGAATAGGGCTTGCTGAAGAATATAGGATAGGATGGAGGGATTAAGCAGTTTAAAGCTTTACATTATAGGAAACAAGGCTCCATTAGTTTGTGGAACACTTAGTTATAGAGGGCAGTCATGATTTAATTATGTGCAGGTGTATTGATATATGCCAGGAAAGGGAGAAACAGATCATCAGGGAAAACCTGGGTCAATGCAGTTCCTCCCTGTGCCAGATGACCAGCAGAACACATCCACATCACTCGGCTCATTTCAGCCCTCAGCATAGGACATAAATGATACATAGGTCTCCTGCTGGCCCCTCTACACAGGGGCACATTTCACCCAGTGAGACAGAGAGAATAATTGAGATGATTGGTCCTTTACGTATCTGCTAGCCAGGTCCATGGGCCATGAGACACATAAACTGTCAGACTTCTGGGTGCAAATCAACCTTTAGGCACTTGATCAAAGGCACCCTCTCAACTTATCACCTTGCTTTGGTTCCATTTTTAAGCTACAGGCCCCCAGTCCATAGCGCTGAGGTCTTGTCATGACCCCTAAGTCAGCATTTTCAGAGCAAATGCATCCCTGTGGCCATTTCTAAGAGGTGCTGCTGATCCATTGCCGAGAGAGATGTGCTCAGAAAGTGCTAGGAAGGCTTTCTGGTTTGCCCAGTCGTGTCTGGGCTGAAGCTCTCTGGGAGCCAGATCTGACTGCACATCTGACGTGTGTTTCTGTAACTGATGTGACACCTGTCTTGTATAGTACTGGGGTACATTTTTAAACAAATAGTATATTGAGAGAAAGCAAAAGCTTAAAACTCTAGAGGCATTTGCTTTCATGTTTCAGTGTACACTGGTTTACTTGGACGGATTAAGCAGGTAGAAGAGGGAAAGACAGAAGTCAGTTTGTCTACTGAAGATGCCCTTCTGAAGGTGACCTACCAGTTGTGGAGTTTTCTGGTGCTGTCATCGCCCTTATTGCTGAGCATGCCATCACCACAGATCTTTACCTATTAAAGCGAGAGAACACTTAACATTCTAATGGTTTGACTGATGTAGTGGTTATGTTATTTGTAATGAGGGGGACCCATGAAACAGCTTGCTGTGAAGGAATTCTTCACATTAGCTGCAAAGTGTGGCCCTCTGAAAATGTCTTCTTGGAGTTTACTGGGCTTAAGTCAAGAGTGCGCTCCAGGTGCTCAGTAGCAGAGGATTCGACTTGTTATCTAAAATGTGACATTATCCCCACTGCAGGAGCCAAGAGCTGTGAAATCTGATACCCCTGTAAGGAGGCAAATAGTCTTTTCCTAGTTTGGAGAGGTGAGGCACAGAGGGAGTGATTTGTCTCCAATTTATCAGGGAGCCTGGGGCAGTCTGAGGACCTGAAGCCAGGAAGCAAAAACTGCACAGGGTTCTTCTTCCTCCCACTGACCACATCAGCTGGTTTGCAGCTGCTTTGTGTTCCTGGCATGGCAAGAAGCCGCAGTAAGGTACCCTGGTGTATCTGTCCTTCTCTCTTACCTCAATATCGGTTAGTCACTGTAGGTTTACCTACAACACCAGGCAATAGGACTGTGCTAAGTAATATGTCAGTGAAGGCTTTACAAGTGCCGTTTAGCAAAATGAATAGATAATGCCCAATGTGGCTTTCTGTAAATTCATATTGTATATTAATAACGTAGAGATAAATAAAATCCAACATAACATTTGAATAAAGACTTCGTATTTAACCCAGAGAAAGAATATGCTGCATGGGTGGAACTCTTTGAGTAAACAAAAGTTCCTGGTGCAAAGAAGGCAGGTGCAGCCTTGGCCAGAAATGCCTTCTCACACACTTAAAAAGCCTAACACTAGTGAGCACAATCCCCTGCCCGTGCTCAGAAAGAAGTCTGGAAGTGATGTCACTCAGGTGTGTGCCCTGCACCCAGTTGTCCCTGCCTACTGGTAACTGCCATCCAGCAGCACATCGTTCCCTGGGAGGACAATCATTGGTGGCTCCTGAGTTCTGCCAGGTGGAGGAACTGCTTTGACATGGGGGTCAAGCACGGGACAGCTTGGCCTCCCCTTCGCAGAGTTCACCTCCAGGGACTGTCACATGCCTGCAGTGCACCTGTGGCTAAGGTGAGACAGAAAAAATGTGGGCTCCTGGCATCTGTAAGGGAGGCTGGCACCACCAAGGGAAAGTCAGGTACTTGTTCTGCCAGTAGCGAAGAGCACAGAGGAGAAGCACAGTGCTGACAGCACCAGGAAGTTGTTGTGACCAACTTTATGGCCAGCACCAGAAATCAAGAAGCAGTGATTGCAGCTGTAGGTTTCCAGATGCTGTTGTTTTCTGCATTGCCCTTTAGTAAATGACAGTAAAGAGAGAGAGCAGTAGAGAGCTCTGACTTCAGTATAATTAATTTTGTCAGTCCCCTTTCACAGGACACTCTGAGGTCTGTTGTATGAATGTAGCTGCTGTTATGGCTGTATGGCAGAAGGAAGGGCAGAATTCCTCAGGATTTCAACCCGTGCCTGAGCTGGCTGGACCTGGGATTTCTGCATCAAAGGCTGGGGTGCTGAGTTGTGGGAAGGAGGGTTTCCATCTTCTCCTTGTGTCCAGTTCAGCAGAAACACTGGCCGTCAATCAAGAGAGCCTAAGACAGGCTGTCCAAGGTCTATGTCCAGGACAGGCTGTCCAAGGAGTTCTTGGAGCTTTTCAGGGAAAAACCACCTATCTCCCAGTATAAAACCTTTCCCCTCTGTATTTCATCACCACTTCGCCGTCAATCAAGAGCCTAAGACAGGCTGTCCAAGGTCTATGTCCAGGACAGGCTGTCCAAGGAGTTCTTGGAGCTTTTCAGGGAAAAACCACCTCTCCTATCTCCCAGTATAAAAACTTTCCCCTCTGTATTTCATCACCACTTCGTGAGGTAGAAAAAAGAGCAGCATTGTACATTTATATATGCTGTATTAACATACTAAGCATAGAGATTGACGTGGTTTACTTTCTCACATTTCAATACACGTGGCAGAAGAAGGAGTCACAGCAGGAGGAAAAATTACCCTGACTCCCTTGTCCTGCACTGTGGTGGAGTGTGTGTATGGTATATAGTAAGTTACCTCCAATTCCTTTTAGGTTAGGATTTTAAACAAGAAGATCGATTTTAGCGATATTCAGTCCCGGTGTGGTTCCAGAGATAACATCAAACATTCTGCAGGGGGAGGAAATGTAAGTAGTACAGACACCCTGTGAACAGGCATCTGCACTGTGGTGACCCACCTTGCACAGCCGGACCCCTCTGTCTCCCTTACTTTGAGCACTACTTTCCTTCTCGCTACTGTTTCACATGTGAGTCTAGTCTGGTAGTCATGTGAGCCCTGTGTATGCAGTGGTGGCCTCCTGATCTTTCTCCACAGAGCACAACACGTTTCCAGAACTTGGAGGGGAGAAGGAAATGAGAAACGAAGGGTTATCTCTAAATGCTCAAGGGTGCTGACATTAAAAGTTCAGTGTGAGCCGAAATGGTTCAGTGCCTTTCATGGGAGTGGCCCAAGAAAGTCAGTTCCAGAGACTCCAGCTCACAGTGAGACTCCAGCCTCACAGCTGGGCATCTTCCAGTGCGTCACTCCTTCCTCAGCTAACCTGAGAGGAAGAAGAAGAAAAATAAAACATAAGGACAAAGAAAGCTCAGAGAGAGGGTGTGATCAGCCAGCGTGCTGAGTGCTAATGCTAATGCCACAGCATTATTCTAGTATAACAAACTGAGGTTGCTCACGGTTTGACCAGACACCCATTAGTTCCAGAAGTCACGCTGGAATAGCTTAAGGTGGTTCTGACCCCTCTGATGGAAATGATCAGATGGAAGAGCTGATGGTGTGGGCATGTCTGAACCAAACAGATTCAGTACAGCCACCAGTGCTGGCTTAAGTCATTGCTGGTGCTGTGAGCAAACCAGTGGCATTGCAGTCATCCTGGAGCTCCTGTCTGGTCTGGAGGGGCTGCAACTTCTTAAGACTTGCTAACACAGTCACTGCAATTGTGGGCTGCATCTAGGAGCTAGCTGGGAGCGCAGCAAGGCAGGAGTGTCGCTCCGTGGCTGTTCCCAAGCCGGGCTCAGCAGAGTCACGGCAACGCGGCCGGCAGCAGGGCACAGAGCAGCAGGAGGAGGGAGGGTGCCTGTGCCGCTGCCTGGCTGAGCAGAGCAACGCCACTGCTATCCAGTGAGCACCACCTAGGCGGCTGACTGAACACCAGCCAGCTCAGGTATAGCTGCAGGAGCCACATTCGTAGATTCATCAGACTCTCCATAGTGGATTGAGCTGAAATGCATACCATATTTAGATGCAGAAAAATATGAAACAGATGGTAGAGAAAAAAACACTCACTGAAATATTCCTAGTTGCCAGGATGCACATTCAAGAGCAGAAGCAAACTGGATGGGTCCTGCTGCACGCAGGGCTTCAGAGCATCCACCCTGAGAGGAAGCTCAGAAACATTTTAGAAAGCACCCACAAGCTGATCTGCTTTGTCCTCCTCTTTGTTTTGCTAATAGTAAAGCTTAACCCAGCTCTGTCATTTCCCTAGGTGGGAAGAAAGCTTGCTGTATTAATCCAGGTGTTTCCTCCTTTGTGGCATGGTCTGTTTTCTACTAACCATCTCTCCTTTTCCAGTGGTTTGTAGAGGCTTGGGCTCTCTCTCTGCTGGCCTGGGCTTTTTGTTTATTCTTTTCATTCCTGTAATTTGTGTGTGTGTGTGTGTGTGTGTGCTTTTGACAGGTACAAATCGTAACCAAGAAGATCGACTTGAGTCATGTGACTTCCAAGTGTGGCTCACTCAAGAACATCCACCACAAGCCAGGTATGGTAGGAATTTCTGGGATGTGGGACAAAGAAAAGACCTAATCCTCTTATGTGAAGGAGAAATCATGGACGATACCATTCTCTTTTATAGTCTAAGAGAAAGTAAATACACTTTGGTAACTTACTTCGATAAGATACTGAAGTCAGCAAAATACTTAAGCATGTGCTTAAATCCCATGAAAGTCAGCAGGGCTGCAGCACATGCTTATAGTTCGAGTACAGACTTTCCCGAGCTATTCCAGCCTCTTAATCTGTATTTCCTTTTTCTGTGTAGGAGGTGGACGTGTGAAAATTGAGAGCGTGAAACTGGATTTCAAAGAAAAAGCTCAGGCTAAAGTTGGTTCACTGGAAAATGCCCACCACGTACCTGGCGGTGGTAATGTCAAGGTAAGGGGACAGCTGTCAGAGAAAAGGCTACCACTGTGTCCCTGGCCCAGTGAAATTATTAGAGCTGTGAACTCAGTGATGGCTCTGAATTGAGTAGGAAACATCTGTTTTTTCTCCTTTGAGCACGCTCACATGCCATTTGCTCCCTTTGGAATTTGGAATGACCAATCTCGCATTCACATCTAAGCTGAGAGTGAATCTTAAAGTGAAACGTCCTGTAGTTTGTGCACTGGCTTTCCCCCTAAAGATAAACCTTGTTTGGGACCGCTGTACAGCATTGGTATGATCTAATAAGTTTGTAGTATGGGTATCCCAGAGGATCAGGACTGCTTCGTGAAACAGGAGGAAGACATCTTGGAAGTAAGATCATTGCACAAACATTTGAAAAAACAGATTTCAGAAACAAATTTAAGAGACATGTAGATGTGGTGCTAAGGGACATGGTTTAGTGGTGGACTTGGCAGTGCTGCGTTAATGGTTGGACTTGATGATCTTAAAGGTCTTTTCCAACCTAAATGATTCTATGATTTTATGCCCATAAAACGTCTATTAAATTCTTATAGGTACAATGATACTGCTCATTAAGGCATCCATCAGAGAGAGAAATAGTAAGAGAATGTAACATAGTAAGCCAATATATATTAAGGTGAAAAAATCTTCGGTTTCAATTATTCTAAGAAGTGAAGAAGCTTCAATCCTTGTAAGAGTTCTTAAAAGTAAACAAAATGAGATCCAAATGATTATCTATAATGAGATAATTTGGTGAACATATAATGTGTTAAAGTCTTTGCTTTCCTGGAGCAGATTGACAGCCAGAAGCTAAACTTCAGAGAGCACGCCAAAGCCCGTGTCGATCACGGGGCTGAGATCATCACGCAGTCACCAGGCAGGTCCAGCGTGGCTTCGCCACGCAGACTCAGCAACGTCTCGTCCTCTGGAAGCATCAACCTGCTTGAATCGCCCCAGCTTGCTACCCTCGCTGAAGATGTCACAGCAGCCCTCGCTAAGCAGGGCTTATGAATTTGCTCATTTCGCATTGTATGAAGTAATAATATTTAGGCATGAGCTCTTGGCAGGAATGGGCTCAGAGCAGGTGTTACATTCATTCTTTACCATGTCTAAAACTAAGTCACATCCCAAGACTTGTAGTTACCATACAGTTAAAAAAACAGAAAAAAAAAAAAGTAAATAGATGCAGAAATTGGCCTGATCTCCATTTACAACAGGAAGACACTGGCTTTATATGGGTATACAACTGCAGTATGTTACATTGGACAATTATTGTTGCTCTGCTCTGTCTTGCATGGAGTACCGTACTATGATAAAATGCATTTTTACCTTTCATGTGCCTGAAGGCCATCCACCTCTTTCTGAAGAGCCTTGCTAATATCCCAAGTTGCTCATTTCACTGTTCGGTTGATAGATGGGGAAATAAAAAAAGTTGCCCATTGTAAGTTATTACAGGTTAAATTAACAGTCTGCTTACCAGAAGGAAGGGCATATAGAGAAATTCAAGTTTAATTAAAAAAAAAAAAAAAAGTGTTATTTTGTATAAATGAGTAGAACAAAAGTTGAATTAAGTTATTAACATTTTTTTGGACCTGGTTAATTATGTCAGTGTATAGCTGAAAAGCCAATAAATTATTTAACTAATAACTAAAAATAGTAGTTGAAAACATTTGAACCATGCTCGGGGAAGTGACATAAAAAAGCTGTTGAAAGCAAGCACTTCCACCCCAATGGACTTGTGTCTGATTAGAAAGTTGGTTAAGCGGCTAGATTTGTGTACGCACCACCAGTTTCACATCCTTTCCATCTGTTTGATACAGTATTATAGATATATATATTTCTCTGTGGCCATTTGTGATATGCCCTCCTCATATACTTGAATATTCTACTTCTTTATTCACAGTATCTGTGTCTCTTGCACCCTTTGGTGTTGCAATTTTAGGTATGTAAAAGTAGATGTTAGCAGGGGTTTTTTTCCTATTCGTAAGAATACATTTAAAAAAGATGAAAATTTTAGCATGAAGTTGCTTTCTGTAACAACTAAAAGCCGTGACCCTGTTTTAGTGCCAGATGCAAGTCTCTTCTGTGATGCTAGAAAAAGGATTCCTTCCCTCTTCCCTTCCCTCCCTTTCTTCACAAAGGTATGATTTTTGTGGGGTCCAGGCATTTGTAAAAGGGTCTCCAAAGATGGCTGAGTTTGGATTCTGGATTTTTAAAAAATCCACAATAGTTTGGTTCTGGCTTTTTTTCTTTCTTTCTCTTTTTCTTTTTTTTTTTTTTCTTTTTAACTCCTGTAGTAACAGTGAATGTTAGATTTATTTATTTTTTTCTTTTGCTAAAGTTGAAACACAGAAAAAAGTATTAAGATGTTGCTTCCACTCCTTCAGTGATGTATACACTCAGGCACTCAGATAACAGTGATAAACATAACAGAGATGCCTGTAAATTATAGTACGTGAATAAATAAAGTGAGCTCCCTAGACTGGGTTTCCATAGCGATTCATCAATAAATAGGGCATCTTAAAATCTGAGCAAAGTGGGATTATATTGACTATAAAAAGTATAAGAAAAAGTGTGCATAAAAGATAAAGGGCAGAGATACATAAACAACCGATCTAACGGAGTTACCTGTGAGAACTCCAACACTATCTTATGGACACTAAGAGAACACTGAAGGTAATATGGTAGTATTACTCATCAGCGGATAATAATCTGCTGATGCTATATGTACAGTAGACGTTATGAAATGACCAGTTTACATTCTTGCAGATTCTTTGATCTTTTCCTTTTGAAATCTCTTAACTAAATTTTGCACTGTCAGTTGAGCTATACTTGATACATGTATTAGGTTAACATTGTGTGTTGGAAGCTTTTGATCTGTTCTTTTTCCTTCTTAATTTTTATGTGTGCGTGTGTGTGTTGGGGTTTGATCTGAAAAGACTCACAGAGAAGATTTTTGTCTGTGGAGAAGGATTCTAATAATAGCACAGGATTCCCCATCATTAAATTCAGGTAGTAAATGCACAGTTACCTAGACAGTAAATAAGTGGACCAAAGGGGGATTTTGGCTAAGCTGTCACAGGAGTACAAAGACAAATCAAAATGATTACATCTCTAAAAATTTTACTGAAGATGAACTAACAGCCCCACACACAACATTTCAGCTCTGCAAAAAGCTTTTTCACACTATAAAGTACCTAATACTGTTCGGTTGTTTTATACAAGGGACAGTGAGTTTACAACCATGCTAAGTGCATCTGGAGGATTCTGATTTCTGCCTTGTATTTGTTATACTTTTGCTTAGAGTAATCCTAAGAATTCACATAGAAACAGTGTCAAGTGAGGTGCATTAAAAGCCTCTTCCCGTTTTTCCAGAAAAACAACAGACACAAAGAAAAAACAACAAAATAGTGCTTATATCACATTGCTCTGATCATACTATCAATTAATATAAATTAGCCTTGCAGTGGGTTTTTTTTTATGCCTTTTGCCAATGTGGAAGAGAGTCTATGGTACTGCCGAACCTCGGCTTCTCTGAAGCTAAACACCAGCTAGTGAGAACAGTGTTAACCTGAGACTCAAGTTTTTTTTATTCTGCTTTTAAAATTGACATACTCTAGAAAATGAAGCTTAGTTAATGCACCTATGAGTCCAAAGTTAAGAGTGGTGTAACACACAAAGTCATTTATTTCATGCATTAAAATGAGCTTTCTTGTCTTGATTCAAGCAAAGACCTTTGTAATCGTAATCATCCTTCCATAGAAAGAATCCTAGAACACTGTGGAGTTAGATGAAAAGAAATCAAGAGTTTCGTGCTGTTAAATAAAAAAAAAAAAACCCTACAAGTTATGTTATATAACTCTAGATGTTCACTGAAAAAGCTCATATTAATCTTAACTTCTCAAGAAGAATGTTGGTTTTAAAAACAACGGTTTTGTAAATATGTAATGCCCACTAAGGACGATAGAGCCAGCTTCCTGGAAAGTGCATCTGTTGTGTTTCTTTTCCACAGGCATGTTGAGCCAGCAGGTGTGTTGGGTGCCTGAGACCCAACGCTGTAACGAAGCAGAGATAATCCAGACAAAAGGAATGGTGAAACCTTGTTTGGATAGCTAGGGGAGAGCCCCAAATTAATAATCCATCAAGTTGTAGAGACAAAAGAAAAAGTGCTTCTGCCCCATCTGCAGAGTGCTGTTTCTACGTAACCACAAGCAGAAAGAAATCTGTCCAGCAACAGTAAAGGAAAAACTAACACTGATGAGGGAAATTGTGTGCCCACAAGGGCTATGTATATTTTCACTGTACAGCAGTAAATGGTATTATCCATTCAACGCTCTGCTAAGATACAGTAGTAACCTCATCGTGACTGCTTACAAATCTAAGTTTGCCTATATACACGACCCAAAGGGAGTCGACAGGCAGCCTGTGTGGACTACCACATGCGAGCCGAAGTTTTTCCCATGCTGGACCAAATACTGTTTGAAACCCAAGTACAAATGTCCCTTCAAAGGCAAATGCCTTGAAGAGTAGATCACATTTGCTATGAAAATCGAAGCAGGTAGATTTCTAGCCTAGGTGTGTGTCGAGTTCACTCACTAGTCAGATTGCTAAAGCAGCTCCCTGCGCAACTCCAGCAATTCCCACTGCAGGAAGGTAAATTAGTTTCACGCTTGGAAAAGTCAAGCGTATAAAAGCCACTTCAACTTTAGCAAAGAGAAAAAGCCAACAAATAAACATGCTGTATGCTGGGATGTCAAGGAATACAGTCTGCTGTTACAAACCTGTGTTTTTTCTGGTAATTCTAGAGCCTGTTACCATAAAAGAGGCATTTCTTGAATGGCTGGTGGTAGGTAGTTCATGTTTTTCAATCCAATTTGCAATTGTATTTGTTGCTGTATAGTGATTGTTTTGCAAAATAAAATCGCTTGTCATCTAATTACTTGTGTTGGTTTCCACTGTTTGGGATACAGCTCCTCCTGCATTCAACCACTGTGGATCACTGCCCCACATGGAAAAAAAGTATCATACACCTGCTGGTATTGCATAGTCAGCCTGGCCAGGAGAAGTCAGAGCGGGTTAAGTCATATTTCTCAGCTAGTCCCTGTTACTTCTTGCCAAAAGAATCAGTTTTTACAGCTAGCGTCCTCTTCTGTGGGGTAATATTTCCCCCTTTGTGTGAATACGTTATTCTGTCCTTCGCCCTGGGGTCCCAGCCTGGAGGTGAGGTTTAGCATCGCCCTGCACTGAGCAATTGAGCCCTCCAGGCAGAGGAGGCCCACAAATGAGCCAGCTTCCCCGCGCTCATCACCGTGTTTCCTTCGGCTGCCTTCAGCACAGAGGTGTGCAAAGGTGTTGCCAACAATCGGAGCCATCCCTGTGTCAGAGGCTGGGCCGCTGGCGGGGACTTGTCACAGTTGTGGGTGACGGCTCCACCGCTTTCTCCCGCTTGGCTGAACAGTGGGGCAGCCTCCCTCCTTCCCTCACCCCTCCCCC